GAGGAGGAGGAGAAGGAGGAGGAGGAGGAGGAGGAGGAGGAGGAGGAGGAGGAGGAGGAGGAGGAGGAGGAGGAGGGGGGGAACATCGAGCTTGCATCGGCGATGCGACGCCGACAACTTGCCTGGCGAGTGAGGCCCCAACAGCGAATCCGCGCGTTCCTGGGCCGGGTCTGTCGGGCCCCTCTCGGCGACGAGCGGACGACTGTGGGTCGATGCGTCTTGGAAGCTGGGCGAGGGCTGGCAAATCCGTGGCTGCTAAAGCGCTCTTCCCGGAAGGCAGAAACAGATCCCCGGAATAAACCTCAGCGCGCTAAAGAATAGTAATCGGGCTGCTTCCCGGAATAACAAATGTCCCGGAGCTGCGCTTTGGCAGCCACGGATTTGCCAGCCTTCGCCAGGCTTCCGAGCGTCCCGCCCTGAGCCGACCCCCCTTCACGCTCCCCCTGGCTTTCGGGCCCACGCCCGGCTCCCCGGCGGCCGTTCGGGACGATCTGGGCACCCCTGCAACGCTCTCGGCGGAGCGCCGCCGCTGCAGGCACCCCGGGTCCAGAGAACCGACACGAAGCCAGGAACACGCCCGAGCAGTCCCCAACCCTGAGATCTGACGCTGCAGCAAACAACACAAGCACGACCCGAGCCCAGGATCCCCTCTTTCTGCGTCCTTTTCCGAGCCAAATCCATCTGCGAGGGTCCCAGGGCCCGGAGCTGGGCGACAAAGCCCGTTGTGACAAATTTCAACGCCAGGATCTCCAGGAGCCTCGATCTCCCACCTGTCGGTCGGAAGAAGTGAGTAGAACCATTAAGTAGGAAGGCGTCAGAAGTAGATTCGGTTTCCTCCCGCCCGAGGAGGAAGGAAGAATGACAACCACTGGATCATTGAAGTAGGACGGCGCCGAAAGTAGATTGGGATCGGGATCTGGCAGTCTAGAAAGACCTACTCCCGCTGACCGACGTGTAGCATTGCTAAGACGAAGCCAGGACGAGGATAACATCGGATGTGGATACATCGAGAAGCTCTGACATCCCACGGCTCTAGACGATGCCTCGGGCGCCGCGGCCTTCTCAGAGCGTGCCCGAACGCTCCGAGAGCGCTCCGGGACGCTCTGCAACGGATTTATGTCCTCGTCCCGGCCCCGCACGGGTCTTCGGGAGGGGCCAGGCGAGGGCGAGGCGGAGGAGGGAGGAGGAGGAGGAGGAGGAGGAGGAGGAGGAGGAGGAGGAGGAGGAGGGGGGAGGAGGGGGGAAGAGGAGGAGGAGGAGGAGGAGGAGGAGGAGGAGGAGGAGGAAGAGGAGGAGGGGGGAGGAGGAGGAGACGATGCCCCGCAGACATTGCCCCTGATCCTCGAGCACCTCCCGCGCGCCCCACGCCCCGTCCACCACGAGCACGGGGGGCGACGGTAGTGGGCCCATTTTCTAACACCACTGCCATAGGCAGGAGGAGGAGGAGGACCTCCTGAGGAGGAGGAGGAGGAGGAGGAGGAGGACCTCTTCATCCCCCCTTCTCCCTCGTCCCACATACCCAAACCTCCGACGCCCTGACTTTTTCAGGACGGCGTCCCTGGAAGTCCCGATCCTTTCCCTGGGACCGGTTCTTCACCCTGCGTCGTTTTTTGACGGTCCTGGGGCCCGGCGAGGGCCCCCAGGGGTCGAAAATGGTGAAAAGCTTGCCGTCCCGATATTCTTGACGACGCGAGCATGACTGGGTATGGTAGTGTTCAGTCGGGCGTCTCCCCCTACAGGCGGATCTTGGAGGAAACATTAAAAATAGTCAAACAATACTCCAAAATATTGAAAAATGGTCAACAAATCGACCCCAGACGACTTTTTCTGTACTATTCTTGAATCCCCCCCCTGCAGAGGGACAGGCCCGACTTCATGGCAGTGGTGGTGGAGGATCTGCCCACCAGACGCGGGGCCGCCGCCAGGAACGGCGCTCGCCGTATTCCGCCTCGCCGCCGCCGCCGCGGCGCCCGCGGCCCGCCGCGCCGCCATCGCTGGGGGGCGCCGCTACGCCGCGGCGACACCCTCATAGGCGACGATGGGGGCGAATAGCCCCGGGGACAGCAGCACATCTTGGACGCCCGAAATTGGAACGGGAAAAAGTGGGTACAATGCCCAACAACCATTGTTGTCCCAAACCAGCAGCGGCCGCTGTTGGGCAGGCGGCCTTCTGTCTCAAACGTGCACAGGCCGCGGCGACACCGACCGCGAGTCCTTTTCGAAATGAAGAGGAACTGCTGTTGAGCATTGTGCCCATTCTTTCCGTAACCATCTCGTTCGTGCCGATGCATGCATCCAGGGGCGCCGATGATCGATATCTGCGACAAGGCTACCGGGCGAATGCGTGCAATGTCCGCCCCTGGGCTATTCGCCCCTATCATGTCGGGCCTGTCCCCCTACAAGGGGATTTTCGACGAAAAATGAAAAATACCCCAACAAATAATCCAAAAATAATCAAAAATAGTCTGGGGACTATGTTTGGAATCTGTTTTGACTTTTTTGTGGTACTTTTGGGGCATTTTGTATTTTTCGTAGAAAAACCCCCTGTAGGGGGAAAGGCCCGACTTAACCCTATCGTCGCCGCCGATGCCCCCGCAACGAGGCCTCGGCGCGGGATTCCACGGGGCCTCGGGCCGGCGCCCGCGGAGGCACTGCGGGCGACCCCGGAGCTCCCAGGCGCTGCATGAATTAATGCGGGATGGCGATCAATAAAGAAAATGGGAGAGAACGATTGAAAACATAGTTATCTGCTATTCCTGCACAATTTTCGGACTGGAGGGGAGCGATTTAAACATAGTTTTCCAACCCGCGGCCGTTTTTTTCTAATCGTCATCCCGGGCGCCGCCGCGTGAGCACGACCCCCGGTCATTTATTAATCGTCATCCTCCATTAGGTCGGGCATGTCTCGGCGGTGGACAAAGCTCCCTTTAATAAACCTCCCCTTCGTGAAAACGGTCTAGGACCGAAACCGACGGACCCGGACCCGCAAAAACGACGGTCGCGACGCCCTCTCGCGAAGCGAAAACGGCCAATTCCTTCATCGGCGTGTCAGGGTAGGAGGTCTATCAACCTCCGAATGTTTCCCTACAAGCGGATTTTGGGCGAAAACTTCCCCCATCACTGCTTGCACTGAAGGGGTCTTCTCTGGTGTAATCAAACATACTCGAAAACTGTTCGAACATACGCGAAAATAGGCGAAACTTCGTCCCCAGACCTTTTCCATACCATTTTGAATCTTCCTCCTGCGGAGGGACAGGCCCGACTTACGCGCTGCAATGTCTTCACGACTGGATTTTTTAGGGGAGCGAAGACTGGCAGAAACATAACAGCTCGGAGGCCCGCGCAGACTTCTCGGAGCCGCGCTGGGGCCCCCTGAAGGCCCCCTCCGGCGCCGCCCCTCCTGGCGCGCTCTGCGTGCCAGGGAGGGGGGCTCCGCGCGGATCCGAAAACTCCGCGCGGACCTCAGGGTCTTTCTGTTTATGCCATTCTTCGCTCCCCTAGAAATCCAGCTGTGAAGAAATTCTTCGCTCCCCTAGAAATCCAATCTTTCGGTTTATGTCATTCTTCGCTCCCTTATTTTTCGCCCGGATTCGGGCCCCGGGACCTTCACAAATCGACCTGGCTTGACAAATGACGCAGAAAGATTGGGTCTAGGGCTCCGGCTGTGATTTGTCAAGGCCGTCCACAGCGACAGCAGAACCGAAAACCGACCGAAACGACGGCGACACCGAAACCGACCAAAATCACCAGGTCACATCTCTCGGTTGATTTGCGTGTATGGGAGGACGTTTCTCTCTGCCACCAGTCGTGGTGTCTGAGGCGCAGTGGGAGAGGAATGGAGGAGCTGGGATGGTCATGTGGAGGTTTGAGGTGGGGGAGGAGCGTCAGCAAGACCTTCGTTCAGAGCAGACATAGCGTCCTCGCGTCCTCAGCACCTGCAGGTTAGCCGCCAGCGTTATATTTTAGTAGCCCCAGCGCCGTTTCAGCTCAGCATCGCATCGTAGGCTGGAGCTTACCCTCGGCGAGGGTCCTTGAATATTGGATAGGTGAATGGAGATTTTGATCAGATGATGGGTGGGGGTGGGTGGACGAGTCGAGTATCTTCGTTGAG